TTTGCAAAGAACGCAGCCTTAACATCATTTTCTTTTGCATAAACACTCACTGATTTGCTCTCTTTGTTTTCAACACTCTCAATCTTTTCTCTCTTTTTGGACTCTTTTTCTGCTATTTTCTCTTTGTTTTTCATACCCTTAAGCTCACTCTCATTTCTCAGTTCACTTTCTTTTTTTACTCTCAGTTGATCCTCATAAACCTACCTTAGACCAATGGTGCAAGAGTAATTGTTTTCCCCTCCATGACAAATGAATAGTGATTTTTGAAGCCATCATGTGTTACTCTCCTATCATATTCCCATGGTCTCCCTAAAAGTAAATGTCTAGCATGCATAGGAACCACGTCACAAAGTACCTTATCCTTATATCATCCAATAGAGAATGAAACCATAACTTGCTTATTTACCTTGATTTCTCCACAATCGTTTAACCATTGCAGCTTATATGGCCTTGGATGCTTCGTCATAGGTAAATTAAGCTTTTCAACCAAAACAGTGCTAACTACATTAGTACAAATACCACCATCAATAATCACACTACATACCTTGTTTTTGACATGGCACCTCATGTGGAATATATTGTCACATTGTACTTCATCATCTTCTTTGGCTTGCACATTCAAAGCTTGCCTGGTGATGAGTAGTTCTCCATCAATGGCATATTCCACATCATCATTAGCATCTTCTAATGGTGGCATAGATTCATCATCAAATTCACCATTGGTTTCAATTTCTCCATCTTCTCTCAAGATCATCATGTGCTTATTAGGACATTGCAATGCAACACGCCCCCTTCCTAAGCATTGAAAACACTTGATGTCTCAATTTCTCCCTTGCGTATTATCTATTTTACTCTTCTCATTGCTGCCAACTCCTTTTGACTTAGATGTTACAATTTTAGGCTTAAATGCAGAATTTTCTTCCATTTTACTCCAATTCAGTTTCCAAGAAAATGAGGAACCTAAATTTTGACCAGTTCTGGTGGTGGCTCCTTTACGCTTGAGTTGCCGTTATACTTTCATCGCCAAATGCACCATATCTTCTAATTCCACATAATGTTGCAGCTTCACCACGTTAGCTATATCACGATTTAAGCCATGCAGAAATCGTGCCATAGTTGCTTGTCTATCCTTTTCCACATTCGCTCTAACCATTGTGATTTCCATCTCTTTGTGGTAATCCTTAATTCTTTTGGACCCTTGAGTAAGGCCCTGCAATTGTTGATAAAGATCATGATAGTAGTGATTAGGAACAAATTGTTTTCTCATCACAGCTTTCATCTCTTCCCAAGTGTCAACAAGACGCTCTCGATTTCTATGTCGACTATGCATAAGCTGATCCCACCACACCACAACATAATCAGTAAATCCATCGCTATTAGTTTCACCTTTTTCTCCTTAGAATAGTTATGACAATCAAACACCAATTCCACCTTCTTTTCCCACTCCAAATACACATCTGGATCATTTTTGCCCTGAAATGGAGGAATCTTCATCTTGATGCTACCTAAGTCACGATCTTGCCGATCTCCCCACCTCGTCAGATTTTGCTCTCCTCGGTTAAACCTACCTTTTTGATTCCCTCTAGCTCTCATAAATATGTTCATGCTGAAATTTGAGTTCTGGGCATCATTGTTGAATGCATCTTCATAATCGTCATTGAGATCATCATTAGTGTCATTCCTATGCAAATTTGGACTTCCATTCTGTATTTGGTATAAATTGGCTATAGCTACATCTTGCTTCTCTATTTTGTCTCTAATTTCACCAAACATGATGTCTAGCCTCTGAAATTGTTGTTGCATTGCTTTGGGCATGAGAGATTCATCCACATGGTGTCTTTTAGTGGTTGATTTGTCATCATTGCTTGACATGATTGAAACCTGCAAAGAATGTAAGAAACAGAAGAATAAAAAGACCTCACAACACTTCCTTACGTGTTTCACTCCACTCTCTCACAGAATGGCACTCAACGTTAGTGTTTTGCACACTATAGAACTTAGCTTTTCTCTCAAGTGTTGCTCACACCTTTTGCCCTTTTCCTTCACTCAACTTTCGTCCACTCAACTTTCCTCATTCAATTCATTATTGAACTAAACAAGCTCAATTCAAGTTATTTTGCAGCAATCTAACTCCAACAAATCTACAACAAGAGTTAAAGGAAACAGAAATACACAAACGAACGAACAAGAAAAGCAATAAAAGAACCAAATCCAAACAAATTAAAATTAACAGATCAGTTCAAGCACTTCCTAGTAGGAATTGACTTGACTAATCCTTAATGCAATAAGATTCCTAATTTTGGAAGGAATAAACAAAATTTGCTATCTCCTTGTTTGAATAGAACTCAAAGAGAATTTTCAACTCCTTATTGTAGTAGCATTTCTTCTTCCAACTCCTTATTGGAGTAGGATTCCTTCTTCTTTAAGGATTTGGCCACAGATTTCTTCT